GCTGAGTTCTTTATCTCTTCATTTGATGTTTTAGGGTTTCAGGATTGTCGTATTCTCTGTTCGGCTTAGTTTTTCCGATCTTTGCTGTGGAGGGATGGTGTGGTACTTCTGCTTAGAGAGCCATTTTGCCGGAAGCTCTTGGGCAAATTTCTTTACCTCTCTGAGTGTCACTTTCCTATTTTCTAAAGCTAGGAGATATATTATCTCACAGTTCCTTCTATTACAGGTCTTAAAAAAAATAAAAAACCATACACATTGCTGTTGAGTCGATTCCGACTCATGACGATCCCACATATGTCATAGTAGAACTGCTCCATAGGGTTTTCTTGGCTGTAATTTTTATGGAAGCAGATTACCAGGCCTTTCTTCCTTGGCTCCACTGAGTGGGTTCAAACTGCCAACCTTTAGGTTAGTACCATTCCAATTCCAACAGTGACTCTATAAGATAGAGCTGAACTGCCCCATAGGGTTTCCAAGGAGTAGCTGGTGGATTCAAACTGCCAACCTTTTGGTTAGCAATTGAGCTCTTAACCACTGCACCACCAGGTCTCCTTAGGTTAATAGCTGAGCATAAACCATTTGTAGCACCTAGGGTTGTATTCTCTTACCATACTTATTCAATCTATATTCTGAGCAAATAATCCAAGAAGCTGCACTATATGAAGAAGAATGGGGCATCAGGATTCGTGGAAGACTCATTAACAACCTGCGATACGCAGGTGACACAACCTTGCTTGCTGAAAGTGAAGAGGACTTGGAGCACTTACTGATGAAGATCAGAAACCACAGCCTTCAGTATAGATTACACCTCAACATAAAGACAACAAGAATTCTCACAACTGGACCAATAAGCAACTCATGATAAATAGAGAAAATACTGAAGTTGTCCACAGAAGCAGCAGTCAAGAAATCAAAGAATTCACTGCATTGGGCAAATCTGCTCCAAGAGATCTCTTTAAAGTGTTAAAAAGCAAAGAAGTCATTTTGAGGACTAAGGTGTTTTCAATCGCCTCATATGCATGTGAAAGCTTGACAATGAGTAACGAAGACTGAAGAAGAATCCTTGCCTTTGAATTCCGGTGTTGAAGAATATTGAATATATCATGGACTGCCAGAAAAATGAATAAATCTGTCTTGGGAGAAGTACAGCCAGAATGCTCATTAGAAGCAAGGATGGCGAGACTTCGTCTCACATACCTTAAACATGTTATCAGCAGGGATCAGTCCCTGGAGAAGGACATCATGCTTGGTAAAGTAGAGGCTCAGCAAAGAAGAGGAAGACCCTCAATGTGATGGACTGACACAGTGGCTGCAAAAATGGGCTCAAGCATAGCAGCTATTGTGAGGATGGTGGAGGACTGCGCAGTGTTTTGTTCTGTTGTACATAGGGTCACTATGAGTTGAAACTGACTCGACAGCACCTAACAACAACAGGGCCCGCTAAGCTTTAGTTTAGAAGTTGAGCATAAACCACTTGAGTTAGCTAGGAACCTCCATAGCTATAATAAACAAACAAACAAAAAACACAAACCCACCACCGTAGAGTCGATTCTGACTCATACCCACTCTATGCGACAGAGTAGAACTGCCCCATAAGGTTTCCAAGGCTATAATCTTTACAGAAGCGGACCGCCACCTCTTTCTCCTGATAGCTATAACAGAAGGTGGTAAAGTGTTCCCCTGGAATTTCAGTGGGCTCTTTTCTGCATGATAACCACAGTTATTTTGTTTTCCCTTTTTTTTTAACTTTCTACTCTCAGAATTTTTTTTTTTTTTTTTTAGTTTGTTGGTGATCAATGCAGCAATTTGCAAATAAGAGCAAAGTCAGAATAGCCAAGTTCTCCCACCTATGAGAGATTTTATTTTTCTTTATTGTCTTCTCTAGTGTAATGGAAGGACAAAACTCAGATTTCATCTTCTCTCTGTACTTAGCTATAACCATCCCAAACCAAAAACAAAACCAAATGCATTGCTGTGGAGTACATTCTGACTCATAGTGTTGCCAGGTGGAAACCCCAGGGTTTTGCTCAGCTTGACTAGACACAGCCAATAAACAAGAGGTGGAGGTGGGAGAGCAGAAAGTCACCTTAATTTTGTTGCGCAAGGAAAGGGGCTGCTGACCCCAAGACTGCTTGGAGGCAGCTTGGGTAGGTAAGCTTTTACAGAGAGCAGACAAGGAAATGTAAATTTATCACGAACATTCAGGATCAACCTTCGAGAAAGTGTCCAGAGCTTGGGGATTGACTGCATTTTCTCTAGACAAGGGTTCGTTCTGTAGGATAGAGGAAGAGGTCAATTTTCCTTCATTAGCATGTTAAGTTTCCACTCAGAGGTGGGGTGCTTATATGTATTTTGCACTTAAGGAGCTAATAGATCACTTAAAGTGCTAAGATGGCATTGAAAACCTGCTAAAACCAGTTGAGGCCAGCTATGGATGTTCTGTGGTTAACTTGTTAAGGACCATTTCAGAAGAATGTCAGCCTATTCTGCTCCATGTAGGAGAATGAGCCAGAGCAGTTTCTCCTAGAAGGTCTGAGCTCTGAGGCTGCCTGTCTCAACAGCGACCCTATGAGACAGAGTAGAATTGCCCCGTATGGTCTCCAACGGGCAGCTGGTGGATTCCAACTGCCGACCTTTTGGTTAGTAGCTAAGCTCTTAACCACTGCATCACCAGGGCTCCATAACCATCCTAGGCAAGTCTAATGACCACTCCGCCTTGCCCTGCAGGCACTGCAAACAGGCTGTGTACACTCAAATTCTGACTCCACCATTTCCTTAGGGCACTGTTGCATAGGGCAAATTGCTAAACTTCTCTAAGCCTAACCTTATCTTTAAAAATGAATATGATAATAGAATCTACGTATCTGGTGCGATGTAAACATTAATAAAATTATTGTAAAGCTTGCCACTTTACAAAAAGCTCTGAGTATGTTAGCTATTGTTATTATTAACTTTTCCCACTTCCCTTTCATTCTCGACTTTCCAGTTACTCCTCTGCAATATGTGGAACATGAAGGGGTACCTAGGAAACGGTGGTAGGGTAAATGTGGAGTGACAACAAATATCCACTGCAAGACACAGTGGTGGAAAGATCATCCACCAGACACTTTAGGAAATCGGAAATAGATCTAGATTCCACACTTTCCTAGCTTTGAAAACTTCACGAATTTATATCACCATTTTATGCTTTTGTTTCCTCTGCTGTAAAATGATGCCGGTAATGTGTTCTATTTTTTTTTCCACAGGACTGTTATTAAAAGGTTCAAAAATAGTGGATGTATATGAAAAACACTTCCTAATGTTTAAGGTGCTTTTTCTCCTCAGCTGAATACGTTCTGAAGGGTCAGGAGAGTTGGTTTCTAGTCCTGGCCCTTTCACTAACAATGTATGGCCAGCCGCTTTCATCCACCAGATAATCTAGTAATGACCACTGTTCATTGCGAGCTAACCATGTGTCAGGCACTGAACGGTGCTTTTAATTTGCACACCAGGGGACCGCTCTCATTTTAGTGCTCACAACTTGGAGTAGGCACCATATCCATTTAACAGATGAAAACAACTGAGGCTAAGGTAGAAAACTGCCACCAGCATGTTCAGCGCTGAGATTCTAAAAACATCTAACGTAAGAGAAAGGGATTAGCAACCAACAGGTTTTTGCCTGCAATCATTCGCTCCACCACAACAGCTCCTTAACCGGAGTGTTCTTGGCGCAACTGTTTGCAGCTGGGTATTAGGAAGCCCGAACTGCCGTGAAAAGCTCACCGCGACGGGTTATACACGCTCCAGGGATTCGCGGGTCCGCCCCTCCCGGCCACAGCCCAGCCTGCCCTGTTCGGTCCTCGGGCTGCCCCCGTCATTGCCCGCCCCAGAGACCCCTCCCCGCCGGGTTCCCGATGCCCCTCAGGCGGAAACCACAGCACTCCCATTCTGCGGAACGATTAGCGGGACGTAGCGCATGCACCCCGAGTGCGCCCGCATTTCCTGTCCGTGCTGATCATTTCCGGCGGGGCAATGCCGGCCATTGGCGTGGATGCGGAGGCGGGCCTTGGTGCTCCCAGGCTCCTCCCGCCCGGTGTTTTCTGAGCGGCGAGGGAAGAAGGCCTGGCGGGGACTGCGAAACCCATGGCTGCCGCCGGGAAGCTCAGCACCTTCCGCCTCCCACCGTTGCCCACGATTCGAGAAATCATTAAGTTGTTCAGACTGCAAGCACTGAAGCAGCTGTCCCAGAACTTTCTCCTGGACTTGAGGCTGACAGGTGGATGGCTGTCCCGTGCCCCTTATGTTTCCCTGGGGCGAGGGCGGGCGTCTCGCGCGGAGCCTGAGGGCGGGTGGCCGGGCTCTGGCACCGGGTGTGCAGCGGGCATTCGATCAGATCCTTCTTCACTTTATTCAGCTCTGCAGTCTCACTCCAGGATACGCGTGCAATACGTTGTTTACTCACAAGATCCCCGTTCAGAGGCGTGTGACAGTGGGATCTTGGGGCAGTTTTTGCAGACTCTGAGCAAATACTCGGGGAGGCAGAGTTCACGCACCGTGAAAGGGGTCGTGGACGTTTGGATCTTGGTGTGTTAACACTGGTGTTGCTGCCTGTGCTGATTGTAGATTTGCTTTTCATACAGTATTAAGTTACCAGAACTTAAATCAGTGCACGGATTTGATCACTAACATGTTCCCGAGTAAGAGTGTAACTCGTAGGATTCGTTATTTAAACGTTTACTTGTTGAGTCTTTGAAATTTTCGAGGGCGCAAATACTCATTCAGGAAACACATAGTGAACAAGCTATTCTTCTGGCGCCGGGGGATATAATACAGGCATGAACAAGGCAGAGTCTGGCCCCAGGGAGCTTACATTTTAGTCAGTTTACATTGCCACTCCTTATTTAAAAAAACAAAACAAAACTAGGAGGTAAAATTTATATATATGTGTGTGTGTGTGTATATACATATATATATATTTCACCAATTTGAAGGGCACAATTTGATGAATTTTGAGAAATGTACACTTAGTCACCACCACCATTTCTTACTGATGCTCTCATCTAAAAGATAAGATTACAAGAATAAGATGTATTACAAATACAGTATGCCCACTCACTGTTAGAGTACTTACATTTTGATGTTTTGATTTTTCATCCTATTTGACCCCTTTTCAGAAGCTAAGAAGAGCAGTAAATCATACTCAAAAGTTCATTTTCCATGAAATGAAACATAGTTCACAAAACCACAAATAGGAGTTTTACTTTTTGCACGTGGAGACCTTATTCTGGAGCAATGACATTGGGTAAAATAGCTTAACTCCACTTTAGTTTTCTCATGTTTTAAATTGAGGAGGGGTTGACCAACAACAGCAACAACAAAAAGCCCAAACCCGTTGCCGTGGAGTCAGTTACGACCCATAGCCACCCTGTAGGACAGAGTAGAACTGCCCCATGGGATTTCCAAGACTGTAATCTTTACTGAAGCAGACTACCAGATGTTTCTTCCACAGAGCAGCTGGTAGATTCGAACTGCCGACCTTCCAGTTAGCAGCCAGGTGCTTAACTACCGCACCACCAGGGCTCCTTAGGGGTTGACTACAAGGTCTTTAAAAAGTTTCCAATCCCAGCTGCAGTGGAATCCATGCCAACTCATGGAGACAGGTAGAATTGGGCTCCATAGAGTTCAGAAGCAGATCACCAGACCTTTCTTCTGAGGCACCTCTGAGTGGGTTCAAACCCGCAGCCTTTTTGACTAGTAGTCAAGCAGTTAACCATTTGTACCACCCAGGGACTCCTTTAAAAAGTTAAACACTTCTCAAGTTCTTTAATTCTGCTAGTAACCAGTACCAGCCTTTTCTCTCAGCTACATTCTAGGTATAAAGCACCATTTTCAGGGCTGAAAATATAGGTCTTTGTAGTTTAAAACATTCTTTCATACACATTTTCTCATGTGAAACTTCATTCACTCTCAGGAGTAACAGTTCCAGAATCTAGATACTATTATCCACTCTTTCTATGAAACCAAAATGAAGAGAGATTAAGAGGCTTGTCTGAGATGAGAAGCTAGGCTGGGATGGAGCTGAAACCCAGGCTTCTTGCCTCCATGGTACTTCTTTGATACTCATTTGTATTTGAATGTGCCTGGGATGTTTGGGCCAGAGTCTCTCCTGCCTACTGTGGTAGTTGTCCATTTTTAAAAATGGAGCCTATGAACTTTGCTCCATAATACCTGTGCTTGGTACCTCATCACTGTTCCCTCTGAGTAGCAGTGGGCGGTAGTGGAGCAAGGATTGGCTTTAGAGGTATGTTGACCTGAGTTGCACTTCTTCTCTACTTTCTAGGTAACCTTGTACAGTCAAACAACTGACAAGGAAACAAGTTCAGAGACATCAAATTGGGATGGTATTTCTTGCAACGATTGAAAGAATGTATGTTAAGCACAAATGGGTGGTCAATGAATGCTAATTGCCTCCCTGCACCCATTAAAAGACAAAAATAGTTTTGGGTGGTTGAGAGACTGTTTTTGCCCTTAAGTGTACAAAGGTAGGTTATTGATAACAGAGGCGAAAGTGGACAGTGCGGTACTCAGTGAACACTGCCAGCAGTGCTGGTGTTTTCAGTGGCTAAGTTCGCACTCTCCTAGGAGGCCTGGTTGCCTGGATTTTAATACCTCCCAGTCAACAAGACTAGCTCATTGTGTGTTTTTTCAGAGTTGATGATTGGTCGCAGTGAATCATCAATACTCTGCTTTTATATGATTTCTTACAGTGTGCTAATTTAAGTCGTTTCATTTAAAAATCATTTTCCATGTTAACATGCATGTTTGCAAAGCTTTAAAAAACTTCCACTGCTAAATTTAACTTTTTCCTAAGAATGACCATGAATCCCAGTTCCTAAGAGTCTTCAGATCTAGCAGCTTGTTGCTGTTGCCATATTGACCACCATTAGATGTCTGTAGGTAAAAAAATGGAGGCTGCCAGAACTTTTTGCTTTGGAATTTTTAACTAGCAACCTGGAAGATTCTGATATGATATGAAACCAGTCTACTTATTCAAGTACACAATGTTCTGCAACTGCAGAAAAGTAGTTTGTGCTTCTTTTTAGGAATTGCTTGGTTTGGTGACAATAGATAAAAAATATAATATTAGCTAAATGTATGCTAAGGAATTTTGTCATGATAGCCCTATTTTTGCTAAGGGACTGGTACAACTCTACAGTCAATGTGGTAGAATGTTGAATGGCCACTGTATGTTCTTTTAGGTTTAGAGTTACATAATTGGATAAATATCATATGTAAAGAATTACTTGGTTAGGTAGTGGCTCATAAGAATTTTTATGGGTTATTTTTCTTTTTAAATTACATACATTGAAATTTTCCAACATATTCAAGATAACTGAGGCTTACTTTCTTTTCTCTAGATAAAATTGTAAGGAAAGCTGGCAATCTGACAAATGCTTATGTTTATGAAGTGGGCCCCGGGCCGGGGGGAATCACAAGATCTATTCTCAATGCCAATGTTGCCGAACTCCTGGTGGTTGAAAAGGACACTAGATTCATTCCTGGATTACAGGTGAGATACTTAAAATGTCTTCTTTTGTTGTTGTTAGGTGCCGTCGAGTTGGTTCTGACTCATAGCGACCACATGTACAACAGAACAAAACACCGTCCGGTCCTAAGCCATGCTCACAGTCATTGTTATGGTTAAGCCCATTGTTGCAGCCACTGTGTCAGTCCATCTTGTTGAAGGTCTTTCTCTTTCTCGCTGACACTTTGCTTTACGAAGCATGATGTCTTTCTCCAGGGACTGATCCCTCTTGATAACATGGCCAAAGTATGTGAGATGTAGTCTCGCCATCCTTGCTTCTAAGGAGCATTCTGGTTGTACTTCTTTCAAGACAAATTTGTTAGTTCTTTTGGAAGTCCATGGTATATTCAGTATTCTTTGTCCATACCACAATTCAAAGGTGTCAGTTCTCCTTAGGTCTTCCTTATTCATCGTCCAGCTTTCACATGCATATGAAGCAATTGAAAACACCAGGGCTCAGTCGGGTGCACCTTAGTCTTCAAGGTGACATCTTTGCTTTTCAACACTTTAAAGAGGTCTTTTGCAGCAGATTTGTCCACTGCAATGCATCTTTTGATTTCTTGACTGCCACTTCCGTGGGTATTGATTGTGGATCCAAGTAAAATGAAATCCTTGACAACTTCAGTCTTTTCTCCATTTATCATGATGTTGCTTATTGGTCCAGTTGTGGGAATTTTTGTTTATGTTGAGGTGTAATCCATCCTGAAGGCTGTGGTCTTTGATCTTCGTCAGTAAGTGCTCCAAGTCCTCTGCACTTTCAACAAGCAAGGTTGTGTCCTCTGCATATCCCAGGATGTTAATGAGTCTTCCTCCAATCCTGATGCCATGTTCTTCATATATTCCGGCTTCTTGGTTTATTTGTTCAGCACACAGATTGAATAAGTATGGTGAAAGGATACAACCCTGATGCACACCTTTCCTGATTTTAAACTACACAGTATCCTCTTGTTCTGTTCAAATGACTACCTCTTGATCTGTGTACAGGTTCTGCATGAGCACAATTAAGTGTTCTGGAATTCCCATTCTTCCCAGTGTTATCCATAATTTTTTATGACCCACGCAGTCAAATGCCTTTGCATAGTCAGTAAAACACAGGTAAGCATCTTTCTGGTATTCTCTGCTTTCAGCCAGGATCCATCTGACATTAGCAATGATATCCCTAGTTCCATCTCCTCTTCTGAATCCAGCCTCAATTTTTAGCAGTTCCCTGTTGATGTACTGCTGCAGCTGCTTTTAAATGATCTTCAGCAAAATTTTACTTGGGTGTGATTTTAGGAGGCAAAAACTTTTAGGAGGAAAAACCTCGATTTCAGTGATTCTTAAATTCAAGGTGTCCAAGGACTGTGTAGGTTACTTGTCAAACTGCAGGTCTCCAGGCCCCATCTAAGAGATTTTGATTCTGTAGTTCAGCAAGGTCTAGAATCTGCATTTCTAACTTCTGCAAGTGATTCTGATGTAGGCGGTCTGTTCGGCACACCTTGAATAAACCCCACTCTACCCATTGATGCTAAATAAACCAATTGTTTTATGGGATTATATGTTTTATGTTATTTACTAATAGCTGTGCATGTCATGTCCCTTTCCTTCAGAAATAAATAAAAAATAAACAAATAATTTCCTGAATAAGAATCAGTACAAAGCTGGTTCCTAAGAGGCAGAGTTCAAGTACAGTAAAACCTGTGAAAGCTGGAACCTGTGTAAGGCAGCAGAACTTTTAGAGAAAGAAAAGTATTTTCCACTAAAACGAGCGATAGAAAAGCTGTAAGACTGCACCCTGGCAAAGGCAGAAAACTTGAGAGACCCAGAAAACAAGGCAGTTCCGTCGAGTTCTGGCTCTCGCAGGTTTCACTTACATCTCTAATACCCAGCTTTTCCATTCTCTCTGACACCAGTGTTCCCCTCCTGACGGCGCTTTCTCTGTTTCCCTGCTGAGTTTGGTACTTCACTGCAGTGTCACACAGGACTCACAGAGTATATTTACAGTTATGTGGTTTATCAGGGTAAAGGACCCAACTCAGAAGTGACCGGATACGGGCAGGCAGATAGAACTGAGGAGAAACTCAGAAACAACATGAAGAGGTTCTCAGGTGAGGTTTGGAAAGGTCTTCAAAGGTGAGGGCACTTCCTTCTGCAGGGAGCTCTCATTCCAGGATTCTCTCCCTCAGGAAGCTTCATGGAGCTTTCAGACTCTTTATCAGCCCCGTCCGCACACTCCCTGTTGGTGACCAGATGGGCTCGCAGACCTGCTCCTGCTCATTAATACAAACCTTCAGGTGTGGCCAGTGTAGCCCAATTACACTAAGAGTTACTTCACAGAGGCCAGGAACGAAGACCAATGCTTAAAGTAACTCTTAACCCCGCATAAAGAATGATCAGTTAATGACTCTGTTATTGACATGGTTTTTGAGAACTTACACAAGAGAAGACCATATGCTAGCCTCATTGAGAGACACTAATTATTAGGCTTAGGCATGCTTTTTTTTTTTTTTTTTAAAGTATAACTTTATTTTTAAGTTCACATTCATTACATTTATTTTTTTTAATTTTATTTATTTTGTTCTTAATACATACAGCAAAACATACACTAATTCAACAGTTTCTCCCTGTACAATTAGGAACACTGAGTAGATTCTTCAAGTTGTGCATCCATTCTCACCCTCTTTTTCTGATGTGTTCCTCCCTATTAACATAAATTCTCTGCCCTCTAAGGTTCCAATCTAATCTTTCGAGTGCTGTTGTCAGTTTGATCCCATATAGATAGTTCTTAAGAGAGCATAATGCTCAAGGCAGACATTTTTTCTAGCTAAACTAAGCTATCATTTGGTTTTAAGAAGACTTTAGGGGATATTTTTGCTTTAAGGTTTAAATATTATCTCAGGGCAGTAGTTTCAGAAGTTCATCCAGTCTTCATGGTTGCAGAAAGTCTGGAGTCCATGCAAATTTTAAATTATCTTCTTGCATTTTCCCCCTTTTGATCAGGATTCCTCTATAGAATTCTTGATCAAAATGTTCAGTAATGGTAGCCTGGCACCATTTATTTCTTCTCATCTCATGGCAAAAGTGGCAGTTGTTCATGGAGGCAATTAGCCACACATTCCATTTCCTCCTCCTATTCCTGACTCTCTTTCTTCCTCTGTTGCTCGAGGTGAATGGAGACCAATTGTTATGTCTTGGATGGAGCCCTGGTTGCACAGTAGTTAAAGTGCTTGGCTGTTAACTGAAAGGTTGGCAGTTCAAACCCAGCAGCCACTCCCCAGGAGAAAGATACGGCTTCCGTAAAGATTTACAGTCTTGGAAACCCTATAGGTCAGTTCTACTCTGTCCTATAGGGTTACTATGAGTCAGAATCAGCTCCGTGGCAGTAGGTTTGGTTGTGCCTTGGATGGCCGTTTATAAGCTTTTAAGACCCCAGGCACTACACAATGAGCAAGGAGGAAGAACAGAAGCACTAAACACATTAGGCCCGTTAACTGGGAGTCCCATGAAACTATGACCCTAAACCTCCAAACCAAGGAACCAAATCCCATGAGGTGTTTGGTTGAACATAAAGGCTTAGGCATTCTTATAAGAGGCTTTGTAAGTGAAGGAATGAAGTTGAATCACTGTATGCATAGATTTCTGATGAAGTTTGAATGAAATGATACATGCGTCTTTAAAACATTAGGTACTGTTATGTGGGAAATACTTGAAGGAACTGGGTATGGTTCAACTAGAAAAGAAAAGAGTGAGGGGATTCATAGCTGCCTTTGAAAGGTTGGTGGTGGACAGCATAATAAGCATGTTCTGATCTCTAAGGAAAGAACTGAAACGAATAGGTGTGAATTGAAGGAGGCAGATGTAGATTTAAAATAAGAACTTATATTGTTAAAAATTCGGCTAACGATTGAACAGATTATATCCGGGATCTTGTAAAGGGAATTCTTCATGGGGGGCAGATTGCATTTAATGACTTAAGGGCCTTTGTTAGATTCTTCTGTAATTATAAAACTCCAAAGAACCTTAGCCTTGGTCCAGATGAGTAGCGGTTTGTTGGGTAAGTACAATAGAATAATCAAATACTTCACATTATTACTTTCCTGCAAGAAGACAAATTAGTTTTAAAGTTAGTGTATTCTAACTTATGTTCAGTGGTGGCTTATGTGTTGCTGTGATACTGGAAGCTTTGCCACTGGTATTTCAAATACTACCAGGGTCACCTTTGCTGGACAGGTTTCAGCAGACCTTACAGACTAAGACAGACTAGGAAGTAGAACCTGGCAGTCTACTTCTGAAACAATTGGCCAGTGAAAACCTTATGAATAGCAGTGGAACGTTGTCTGATATAGTGCCAGAAAATTAGCCTCTCAGTCTGGAAGGCACTCAAAATACAACTGGGGAAGAGCTGCCTCCTTAAGGTGGAGTTGACCTTAATGACGTAGATGGAGTCAAGCTTTCAAGATCTTCATTTACTGATGTGGCACGACTCAAAATGAGAAGAAACAGCTGCAAACATCCATTAATTGGAACTTGGATGTATAAAGTATGAATCTAGGATTATTGGAAATTGTCAAAAATGAAATGGAATGCATAAACATCGATATCCTAGGCGTTAGTGAGCTGAAATGGGCTGGTATTGGCCATTTTGAATCAGACAATCGTATGGTCTACTATGCTAGGAATGTCAAATTGAAGAGGAATGACATAGCATTTATCATCAAAAGGAACATTTCAATATGTATCCTGAAGTACAACACTGTCAGTGATAGGACAATATCCATACGCCTACAAGGAAGATCAGTTAATACGACTATTATTTAAATTTACGCACCAACCATTGAGGCCAAAGATGAAAAAATTGAAGATTTTTACCAACTTCTGCAGTCTGAAATTGATCAAATATGCAGTCAAGATGCCTTGATAATTACTGGTGATTGGAATGAGAAAGTTGGAAACAAAGAAGGATTGGTAGTTGGAAAATGTGGCCTTGGTGATAGAAATGATGCCAG